TGAAGCATACCATTTGCTCTCTCTCTCTCTCTCTCTCTCTCTCTCTCTCTCTCTCTCTCTCTTTTGTTTCTTCTTGCTTGTGGCTTCTCCATTGCTTCTAATCCTTCTTTACAACGACTAATGTGAAAATGTATTTCACATGAATGTACATGTAGAGCCTATATCAGATTACATGCCGTCTTGAGGACAGAGAGGAGGGAGGGGGAGAAAATTTAGAACTCCAAATCTTATGGAAGTGAATGTTGAAAACTAAAAATAATTAATCAGAAATAATTAAAAAAAGAAATCATTTAGTATATTGATTGGTATGGTACTAAATTTGTAAATTAATTTGTGTAGTCTTCTTATGTTATTATATAAGCAGGACTTAACCGTGAGCAATTAATATCTCTGCAATTATCCATCTTCCTTTATTTCTGAAGTGTTCTGTAGTATTAGAAATAGAATTTCTGAATGATTCTTGGCAGGAGGAATTCCAGTTGTTTTATACATTCTGTAGTAATTGTCAATGCAACTTCATATTTTCTTATGAAGAGCTCCTTTGACAATCTTGAAAGACTTAAACCAGGATCAATCCAATGACCAGCCAAGATTCCAGAGGCCCAATGCCTCCTGACAAAGAGGCGATGAATGCAAAGTGCAGAATGAAATAGACATTTCTGGACGAGGTAAATTTGGGGATTTGTTTTGCTTGACTAGCATGTTTCTTACCTAATTCTGTTTGTTTTTTGTTTTTTGTTTGTTTGTTGAATGGAGGGGACGTGGGAAGAGGGAGAAGAGCTGGTCAGTCAGTAAGACGGGATTGCCCCTCCCTTCCGAAAAAAGGAAAGAAAAGAGAGTCAACGTTAAATGCACAGAAGAGAACAAGAAGAAGGCCAAAAGGGAACACAAGCAAGGGCTGCCTGAAAGTTCACTATTGGGTTGATTCTATACTTAAAAGGAAAAGTAAGCTGCCCAGAATCAAGATTGGCTATGTCATGTCTTTTTCAATTCTACTGATATGGAAACGCCCACTTTGTTTGCTGTTAGTTAAATTCACAATTTAATATTTATTTGAGCTTCCTAACTTCGGAGACAACAGTTTCAGTTTAGTGATAAAATCAGGGCCCATATTGCAAAGATCTGGAAAGAGGAAGAATGTAGAAGCAACAAATGAGGACAGGGGCAACTAGGGGGCGCTGCAGTGGACAGAGCATTGGCCATGGGGTCAGGAGGACCTGAGTTCAAATCCAGCCTCAGACACTTGTCACTTACTAGCTGTGTGACCCTGAGCAAGTCACTTCACCCTGACTGCCTTACCAAAACAAACGAACAAACAAACAAAAACCAAGTGAGGACAGCTTTTTCTGAGAGTCTGGTTGAGAAAGGGATGAAGGGGGAAAGGAAAGAAAAAGGAGTAATACGTTCATATAGTGTTTGCCAGGCACTGTGCTAAGCACCTTATTATCTTATTTGATCTTCCCAACAGCCATGCAAGGAAGGTGCTATTATTATCCCCATTTTACAGTTGAGGAAACTGAAGCAACAGAGGTTTAAGTGACTTGTCCAGGGTCACAAAGCTAGAAAGTGTCTGAGGCAGAATTGGAACTCAGGTCTTCCTGACACAAGACCCAGTGCTCTATGCAGTGCTCTACCTGGCTGCCCCTACAGAGATAAGATAGAGCTTGAATTTTTTAAGTGAAGTTATTTAAGGATGGGGTAACAGGTGTATTTGTAGGCAGCAGGGAAGGATAAAGTTGATAGGAGACTGAAGGTTAGGGAGAAGGGAAGATGTGGGGGCAGTCTGCCAGAGATTTACTCCCATTTACCTATCCTGTTTCTTCTGAATAATGCATGCCCATATAGTATGTCGAAAGCCAGTCAAGTAAAATTTACCTCCATGAATGAAGAATTCTAATCCATATCGTTTGATGCCTAAATTTTGTGCAAAGATGGCCATTTGTTCTTATTCAGTTGTGTCTGATTCTTTGTGACCCTATTTGGGGTTTTCTTGGCAAACATACTGGAGTGGTTTGCTATTTCCTTTTCCAGCTCATTTTTACAGATGAGGAAACTGAGTCAAATGAGGTTATGTGATTTGCCCAGGGTCACACAGCTGGCATCTGAGGCTGGAGCTGAACTTAGGTCTTCCTGACTCCAGGTCCAGTACTCTATCCAAGAATGGTGGTGCTTAAATGTTGAATTTTTAAAAATGTTAACATCACCAGCAAAGGTATCACTGATTTTTAGTTGTGAAAACATGGGTACTTCAGTCAATTCACTACAGCTGAAATGAATGAAAATCTAAAGACTTTTCAGTTGAAGAGCTGTCCATGAATATGTGAAAAGCCAGCTGCGTCACTCTGTCTTGTGTTAATGTGGCAATCGTGATTTCCCTGAAAAGAAAGAAGATTGAGCAGAGCCTCTAGTTGACCTGGGACTACGATGGGAAATGTCATTGCATTCTGAGCACCAAAAGACTATATCCTAATGTGCCTAAAATGCAGCAGCTCAAAGTCCTTGTTGACAGGATTTGGGGAACAAAGCCTACGCTGAGGCAACATTTGTGTTTTTCCCAACTATAAGTGAGCACTAATAAAACCTGTGAATCGTGGGGAAAAAAAATAAATTAAAATTCTTGACAACTTCCTAGCCAGTGAGACACATTCCCTCCTCCCCTCTGCCTTCTTAGTACCACCTGTTCTACGCACTCAATGATCATAGTAAGAGAAAGGGAAGGGAATGAGCACCATATGGCACCAGAATTCTGTGCTAAGCTCATCTCCTTTGATGAGACAATGTCATCCCCATTTTAGACTTGAGGAAACTAAGGCAGAGGTGAAGTGACTTGTCCAAGGTCACACAGCTAGGAAGAGTCTGAGGCTGGATTTGAACTCAGGTCTCCCTGACTCCATGCCTAGGCCATCTAGCTCAGAGAAGTGTCAGGAGCTCTCTCCCTCTGCTAGTAAGAATAGGAGTAAGTTTGGATGTTCAGTTGTGTCCAATTCCTTGGGACACCATGGACCATGTTGTCTATGGGGTTTTCTGGGCAAAGATACTGAGGTGGTGTGCCATTTCCTTCTCCAATGGATTAAGGCAAACAGAGGTTAAGTGACTTGCCCAGGGTCACATAGCTAGTAAGTGTCTTATGTTGGATTTGAACGCAGGTCTTTTTGACTCCCGGCCCAGCACTCTATCACTGGGCCATCTACGTGCCCCTAGTAATAAGTATAGCTAGCATGTATATCACGCTTTAAGGATCATATATTTGATCCTCTTTGGCAAGTTTGCTATACCCATTTTACAAATGAGGAAACCAAAGCCACGAGAATTTAAGTGGCTTGTCCAGGGTCACACAGGCAGGATTTGGACTCATCTTCCTGACTCCTAACACACTCCTAACTTCTGTTAATCAAACCAACCCTGCCATTGTTCCTGGATGGGGTATGTCCGTTTATTCCCCAATGGTTCTCCTCACCAATCTTGGCTACCACTCCTCTTGGCGTGTTGTCTCTCCCGTTAAAATGTAAGCTCCTTGAGGTCGGGGACTGCCTTTGTTTTTGTATATGTGTTCCCAGAGTTGAGCCAGTGATTGTCCCACCGTAAGTGATTAACATGTGCCTTTTCATTCAGTGATTCTCATTAAAGATGACAACAGCTACTACTGGAGCAGCTGACCTCACCTCTACCTGGATTACTGCAAGTCTCCCAACTGGCTTCTCTGTTCCCAGCTCTTCCCTTTCTCATCCACACTCGACGAAGCTGCCACAAACTTGTCTGACCATGCCAATGCCCTGCTCTCCAATGCTCATCGGCTCTCCACTGACTCCAGGATCTAAAGAATCTTTAGCCTGATATTTAAGGTTCCCCCAATCTAGCTCCACTCTCCCTTTCCAGCATCACTATGCATCACGACCCTTTGCGTTCCAGTCCGCCCAACCCATTAGCCTAGTAGCTGTGCCCCCACACAAACATTTCATCTGCCAGTGTTTTTCACAATCCATCCCCAATGCTCCATGCACTTCCTCTTCATTTTAACCTTCTCGGGTATCAACTCCAGGGCCATATCCCATCAGAAACCATTCTTCACTCCATAGCTTGTCAGAGTTCTCTGCCAAGCAGGAACTGTGTTTAGTTTTTGTATCACTACTCCCTGGCTTTTCATCAGTTGTCCTCCATACCTGGAGCAGCCTCTCTCCTCACCTCAGCCTCCTGGCTTGCCTGCCCTCTTCCAAGATTTAGCTCAACACCCACCTTCTATAAGAGGCCCTTCCCACTCCCCTCCCAATTCCAACACTTTCCCTTTGAGACTACCTTCCATTTGGATGGTATATATCTCATATGGACATCATTTTTGCATGTGGAGCTTGGTACTCCTCGATGCTTCATATAATAATCACTTTGATAAGTGCTTGTTGACTTACTACCCCCAGCACTTAACAAGATGGCTTGCATAGCACACTCAAGTAATAATTGCTTACTGACATTGTTAACAGTTGGGAAAGAGCTTACTGAGGAAAGAGATTTGAAATGCATAAGGGGAGATGATTGTTGGACTAATGGCCTACAGTACAAAGGAACAAGATTAGTGGAAAAGGCATTATCCTTAGCAAAGAAGGATACCTTTTCCTCTAAGATTGAAAGGATGACAAAACAGTTGGGAATTCTTAGAATTTTTGACGGAGTTGGAGGGAGCAAATGCTTCTCATACTGACTTAATTTCCTCAGTAAATGTAAATCTTGGGAAGTTCAGAGGTTGTGGGAGGAAACTGTTAGGGGACTACAGGAGAAAAATGTATGAATAGGACTGCAAGGAAAGTAGATAGGGATTTGCATCATTTATGACATTTTCTTTTAGTTTCACTTGCCTAATTGTCCGTAATTCATCATAATTCTGAAATCTATCTCAAGACTGTTATATTCTTAAGACTCTTCTCCAACATGAATTATCTATTTCAAAAGCTGTGTTCTGGAAGAAGGCCACATGCATTACACACAGTTTTGTTGTTATTGTTGTTTTGTTTTAGTATAAACTGATATTACAGAAGGATTTTACTCTGGAAGAAAGTCTTCATTCATTACAGTAATAAAGTTTCAGTCCAGTATGAATTATTTGATGTTGGCTAATCTCTGTTTTCACGTGGAATAGTATCCCAGTCGTTGCATTCATAAGGTTTCTTACCAGTATGAACTTTTTTATGTTGAGTAAGCTGTGCTCTCAGGCAGAAGGCATTCCCACATTCATTACATTCATAAGGTTTCTCACCAGTATGAATCGTATGATGCTGAGTAAGCCCTATCTTTTGGCTGAAGGCCTTTCCACACTCATTACATTTATAAGGTTTCTCTCCAGTATGAATTCTATGATGTCGTTAAGTTCTCGGCTATGGTTGAAGGCTTTACCACATTTGTCACATTGGAAAGGTTTCTCACCAGTATGAATTCTCTGATGTTGAATAAGTCCTATCTTCTGACTAAAAGCCTTTCCACATTCATTACATTCATAAGGTTTCTCACCAGTTATGAATTGTCTGATGTTGAATAAGTCCTATCTTCTGACTAAAAGCCTTCCCATACTTATTACACTCATAAGGTTTCTCTCCAGTGTTAATTCTATTATGCTATTTTAGTGGTTTATGACTAAAGGTCTTCTCACACACATTACATTTATAAGACTTCTCACCAGTATGAACTCTTTTATGCTGAGTAAGGCCTGCACTATACCAGAATGTCAACCTACATTCATTGCATTCATAAGGCTTCTCACCAGTGTAAATTCTCTTGTGTTGAGTAAGGTTTGTACTTGAGTAGAAGGCTTTCCCACAATCATTACATTCATATGGTTTCTTCCCACTATGAATTCTATTATGTTGTTTAAGTTCTACTCTGTGAATAAAAGCCTTCCCACATTCATTACATTTACAAGGTTTCTCACCAGAATGAAGTCTCTTATGTTTATCAATTTGTGCACTCAAGTGAAAGGCCTTTCCACATTCATTACATTCAAAAAGTTTCTGTCCAGTATGAATTCTCTTATGTTTAGTGATGTGTATGCTCAGGCGGAAGGCCTTCCTACATTCATTACACTGATAAGGTTTCTCTCCAGCATGAATCCTATGATGTCGTTTAAGTTCTCGGCTGTGATTGAAGGCCTTCCCACACTGGTCACATTCAAAAGGTTTCTCACCAGTATGAATTCTCTGATGTTGAGTAAGCTGTGCTCTAAGGTGGAAGGCCTTCCCACATTCATTACAGTCATACGGTTTCTCACCAGTATGAACTGTCTGATGTTGGTTAAGTCCTACCTTTTGGCTAAAGGTCTTCCCACATTCATTACATTTATAGGGTTTCTGAGTAGAATGACTTAGCTGATGTTCAGTAAGGTCGATTCTTGGGCAGAAAGTTTTCCCACATTCATTATATTTATGCTCTTTATCTTCAGTATGGTTCATCTGATATAGCCTATGTTCTGACATGTGCCTAAAAGCCTTGCCACAATAATTAGATTCACATTTTTCTTGACATTCTCTATTCTCTGCAAATAGCTTCTTTGAGCATATTTTATCATATATTCTCACATCTGAATACTGTTTGATGCTCTTTCTGTATATATAACATTTATCAAAACTCTTTCTAATTCTATGTTGTGGAAAAAGGATTGGCCCTAGACTGAAGTTTCTACCATACTTATTATATTCATGGCCACTCCATTTACTGAGAAATTCCTGTGGAATGTTTTTTCCTTGCCAAGAATATTTCTTCTCATTGTTCTGCTTCTTTGTCAAACTGGCATCAGATTCCCAGGCTTCTTGAAACTCTGAGACAGAAGGAACACTCATATTAAGTCTTTCCTCAGATGATTCTTCCATGAAAGTGCCCAAATTCTGAGTTGACTCCTTGGATTCATGGCGAGTCTCCCAGTCTGAAAGAAATTAAAAAATGTAAACTTCCCCTGTCATACATACTATTTGTGTACTCCATTCTTTCGTATTTGCCATAAAGAACAATTATTTTCTCAGCCTTCTCCCCTTGCTCCCCTCATCCCAAACTTCTCTCTCGTTTGACAAGCAGGTTTTTTTTTTCCCTCTTCAATAGGGTCCCTATAACCCATTTAGTGTTTTTGGTTTGATCCAAAATTAGGTTGTAGTATTCCTTTGCTTCTAGGTCTAGGCTTTCCAATTCATTCTATTAATCATCTCTATTTTAAACTAGTTACGTGATAGTTCTGGTAATTAGAAATTTGAGATTTTGTGATGCTAGATTTCCTTAATCCCTATTCTCACTCATTATTGTGTGGTCTAATTTTGTGACATGTTTCCTTAATAATTTGATTAGCATGTCTTTATACCTTTAATTTATGTTATTTTTATTATGTTAACGTGACCCCCACCACGCTTCATTTTTCTTCCTACAATCCCCCCAACACTTCACTCCCCATCTTCTTGACTGCTGCCCTGACACACAGACTAGAAATCAGGCTCTTTCAGCTCTGGAACATCTGCTCTTGGGCCCCAGCTATCCTGAATGGTGAGTGCCTCAACTGCCCTACTGTTTTAGTCAGTCAGTCAGTCATCTAGCATTGATTAAGCATTGACGATGCTCCAGGCACTATGCAAAGCTCTGGGGATACAAAGAAAAGGAAAAAAAAAAAAAGAAACATGCTTGCTTTCAAGGAGTTAACAACCTGATGTGGGGAGACACCATGAAAACAAGTGTGCAGAAACAAGGTATATGCAGCATGAACTGGGTGGGGGGGGGAGGTGGTCTCAGTAGAAAGGCACTAGGGTTAAAGAAAGCCAGGAAAGGCTCTGTAAAATGCGAGCCTTTAGCTGAGACTGGAAGGAAGCCAGGTGGCAGGGATGAAGTGGGAGACTGTTCCAGGTACGGGGGTCGGCCAACGAAAATGCCTGCAGTCAGGGGATGATGCTTCACATTTGTGGAAGAGCCAAGAGGCCGTCACTGTCACTAAGGCACAGAGTCCAGGGAGGGGAGAACCGTGTAAGGAGGCTAGAAAGCCGAACAAAGGAATTTGGTTCAGGCTGGCCCGGTTGCGTATCATGTTACTGTCTACTTCCTGGCCGTCTTCATACACCCTCCCCAGCACATTTCCTTCCACTTCCAGAACCACCATCAAACCGATACTGCTATTGCTCCCAGAAAGCGGGTATCCCAACTGACTCCTGCACAGCTCTGCTCACCATCTCGGTGGCTTTGCAAACCAAAATCTTCCTCCTTGGCCACACCTGTATTTGTTGAGAAACACCTTATTGGAATGTCTTTCCTTTCTTCCACATTCCCCTCCCCTCTCCTCTTTTTTCTCTCCCTCCTTCCCTTCTTCCTTTCTTCTTTGCTTTTCTTCCTCCCTCCCTCCCTTCTTTCTTCCTGCCTTCTTTCCCCAGCAGAAGCTGAGATGAGGGCTCATCCAGCAGATATGCCTTCCTTTGGATGTAAGCTCCCTGAAGGCAGGGGTTGTCTTTGGTTTTGTACTTGGATCTGAAATGTTTGATAGGCAACAAACAGTTAATAAATTCTTTTTCATTCTTTTGTTCCTTTTTCATGCTTTTCATTATGGTCCATTCATGGACACTGAATACATCTCTAATGAGATATATATTCTATGAAAATTATTTTGTGCTTATATCCATATAAACCTGTCAGTGCTTTGTAGGTTGTTATGCATTTTGTACTTAATTTAAAGGGGATTTTTATTTTGAGCTTCAGCTGTTGGCTTTTGGTAGGTATATAAAGAAATGCAGTCAATTTTGGTAGGTTTGTTTTTAATCCTGTTTGCCAAAGCTATTCATCTTCTCAACTTTAGGCTGATTCTCCAGGGTTTTCTAGATAAACCATCATACCATTTACAAATTTCTTTCCCCAACTTGTACTTCTCTTACTACTATTGTTAGCCCTTCTAGTGATAGGCCACGTAATGGTGGAGACAGGTGGCATGCTTGCTTCACCAGCCCGTGAAAAGGAGGGACATCCAGGAGTTTGGCGTCCCTGCACCAGAGACGATGTCACGGCCGGGGAGGGGGTACAGGGCAGAAGAGTGGAGAGATGAGGGGGGATTGGTTGCCAAGGGCTTTGCATGCCACAGAATTTTACATCTGATCTGGAGGCGCTGGGGAGCCGTTGGAGCGTCCTGAAAAAGGGACCAGGGTCAGATCTGCACTTCAGGCAGACGCTGTGGCAGGGGGAGCAAGCAGCTCCTGCACCAGCCGAGGGGTGAGGGGGTGAGGACCTGCCCCGATGGAGGCGGGGTGGGGGAGATTGTATTTGGACATTAACAGGGTGTGATACAAAAGGCATCAATACAAAAAGAGAAAGCAAAGCAAAGGATGGTGGCTCTAAGCCCTTTGCGAAAACATGAATGAAACGGCGGAACACAGATGGCCCTCACGGTCTGGACTTTTCTCTTGACCTTGTCTCTCCTCTCTCCTTCAGGGCCGTTTCTCTCTACTCACTTGATAACCCTTCTCCAAGCCCAGACATAAAATGGTGTCTCTGATGAGACGCGGAGTCTGCCTGACTTCTCTTGTGTTATAAAGGATGGATCTATGGGGGCAGGGAAGCATTTGGGGAATCGACTATGGTATAAAAAATGACAGGAATAATCTTTAAAATAAGTGAATGGAATCTTATAAATGGTTGCTGACCAAGAAAAATCCAAGTACCTCTAATTAAAAAAAAAAAAAAAAAAGGAACAGGTTGGGAAAATCTTTGCCAGAAACATCTCCACCAGAACTGCGTCATTTAAAACACAATTTCCAAAAGTATCTGCAAAAGCTGCTGCAGAGCATGAGGGAGGGAAATAACAGGAGTAAATAAAACCAATAAAACCTTCCAAGTAAGTCAACGTCACCTCACAGACAGCCCTGGCCTCGTCAATGCTTCCTCCTCCCCAACACTGCCAGGCTTCACCCTCTCCAGTTTTCACATGCATCTGAAGACACGCGAGCCGCCCTGCCCAACAATCCACCCTGGCTGCCTACTCAAGTCTGCACAATTTTATTGAATGCCTCTGAGATGTACTAGCTCTTACTTTTAGACGGATGCACCAAGCAAATTAAGGAAAGGCCTGTTAATTCCTGGGCAGTCTGGTGGCCCAGCGGATGGCACTGAGCCCCGAGTCAGTGTGCTCAGATCTGTTGTGTGACCCTGGGCAAGTCACTGAACTTTTCTCTCCCTTAATTTCTTCAATTGTAAAATGGGGATAATAACAGTGCCTAGCTTGCAGGGTTGTTGTGAGGCTCAAATGAGGCTTAGCACTGTGCCTGGCACTTATGGAGTATAGTAGGTGCTTAATAAATCTTTCCTTTCTTCCACCTTCCCCTCCCCTCTCCTCTTTTTTCTCTCCCTCCTTCCCTTCTTCCTTCCTCCCATCCTTCCTCCTTCCCTTCTTCCTTCCTTCTGTCCTTCCTCCTTCCCTTCTTCCTTGCTTTCCTCCCTCCCTCCTTCCCTTCTTCCTTCCTCCCATCCTTCCTCCTTCTGTCCTTCCTCGCTTTCCTCCCTCCCTCCTTCCCTTCTTCCTTCCTCCCGTCCTTCCTCCTTCCCTTCTTCCTTGCTTTCCTCCCTCCCTCCTTCCCTTCTTCCTTCCTCCCATCCTTCCTCCTTCTGTCCTTCCTCGCTTTCCTCCCTCCCTCCTTCCCTGCCTCTCTTCTTTCTTCCCTCCTGCCTTCTTTCCCCAGCAGAAGCTGAGATGAGGGCTCATCCAGCAGACATGCCTTCCTTTGGGTGTGACTTTGGGGGAAGCAATGCTATCTAGGACTTGGGCTTACTTCCTCCCCTCAGAGACTAAGACGTTGAGGCAACACGTTTCTCTGTTTGTTCTTGCTCCGTCTCGTTGCGAATATCCCTGAGTAGAAGCTGCCTGTGGTTAAATGCAGATGCCAGGTCCTCGCCCCCTAAAAATGGAGGCCACAACCAGCGGGGCATTGAGCTGATGGCAAAGACACCCACAACCTGTCGGGCGCCTGAGAACCTGAGCGGGCCTGGCCCTGAGAGGCAGAGGTGAGAACACACACACATCCTACCTGGAAAGCACCCACGGTTCACCTCCGGCCGGATTCGCTCACCTGCACGGCCGACTCTTGGAGACTCCCTGTCGCTCCGACTGGCAGATCACACAGGTTTGGAAAGCGCCAGTCCTGCTTATTGAAAAAAGGAGTCCTCAGGACAGAGAACCAGCTGAGACTCCAGCTGCAGGCCCTGTTTTTGTGGGGATCACTAGCCTAGAGGCGTGTGTTTTTGTGGGGATCACTAAGCAGGCCCAGGGGCGTGTGCAAAAGACATTCAAAGGCCCCTCTGACAGTCAGGAACGGGACCCAGAATGGATGTGTGCCCAGAAAGGGAACTCCTCCATTTGTCCAGTCCTGGTAGGAAGATGAGGTCTGTTCAGGGTTCTGCATTGGGAGTTAAGGACAAGAGAGCAGGCATGCTTAAATACCCAGGCCAACAAAATCAACTGCCTGGTTCCCACTGTAAAAAGTCCAAACCTTTCCTGGGAAGTGATAGCACCTCTCTTGGCCCAGCCTCACAAAAGCGTTAGCAACCCCTCATCTCTACAAGCCAAAAAATAACTACTCCAGACTTGAGACCCTCCCAGTGTTCACTAGAACAGGGAGTAAAGACCCTCCCCTGGCAGACCGGGGGTGGGGAGGGGAAGGAGGGGCAGAGAACAGAGTTCAAGACCCAGCTACACAAATCAAAACCTTTTACTTACAAGTTAGCAGCACAAAATGATCACATCCAATAAAAACTGCTCACTACTCAACAGCCCACCCCACCTTTCACCAAGCAAAGCCCTTCCAAGGGGCAGAGTCTGGGTCCCGGGAGAGCCTGAGGGCCTTACCCAGGCAGACCAGGTTCCTATGGTTCTCGAGCGTCACCTCACGGTCCAGCTCCCTCTGGGAAAGGTCCAGGTGGCCCCATTCCTCCAGCGTGAAGTCCACAGCCGTGTCTCTGAAGGCCACCGATTTCTGAAAAACCCAGTACACTGTGTTTCCTCAGAGCCTACCCATGGACAGACCAGGTTGGAGACTTGAAGGGGCCAGGAACCGCACAGACTGCTTCTCAAGACTTCAGGCTTCTGCGCATTCCAGGGGCCTTTGGTGTTACTCAGCTTGAACTAGATGTTGAACTGTCACCCAAGGCATTCATGATAGTAACAGCTTGTACTCACATTTCACTTTTCCATTTATGAAGCACTTACCCAGAATAATTTCCCGAGGCAGGTGACAGCCCCCTCACATGCGAGAGATCTCCAAACAGAAACTGGGAAAGGGCCCCCGGGCAGGCTCCAGATGGGACTCTGAGAGCCAGGCGGGAGCAGCCCTGGGTCTCCTGGACGACAGTTCAAGATAGCTACCTGCGAGAATCAATGACCGATCCTGCCGTGTACACTGGATTTTACTCTGGAGCCCCAAACACCAGATGGCTGCGTCTCCTCTGTCTCTAAGTTAAAATGCTCATGCACGAGTTCAAGGTCTCAGTCTTTCTCTGTGAGGTAGATGTCAAAGGCTGAAGCTTTGCCACGATCACTTTTAATCAAAGAAAACTCTGAGCTAAAGTTTAGAGATTCATCTCTCCCCCAAAGCATTCTGATTCCATGGGAATGGTTACCTCAGCCCCACCTGCACGTGCAGCTTACAGCATCGGTGTGTAATCCGTGAAAACAGGCAAGCTGACCCAGCCTCACCTCTTCCTTGCCCAGCAAGGGTGGCCTATCTCATTCCCAGGCACTGTGAGTCAGCTGGGTCACCATCCATAGCCTCGGGGTCCAGCAGGATCCCCCAGATTCATAAAGCATCCTTCTGAGACAGAGAACAGTGGCCCCAGTTCCACGTGTAAAACCCCTTCCCTTAGTGTAACATCAATCCCATGATGTCACCTACCCTGTACTGTTTTTGTTCTACGCTTATAAAAATGAGTTACATTTTCAATTCTTTCAATTCAAGTCTTTTGGCTATTCGAGGCAGTCATTAGGCCTGCTTTATTGCCTGGCTATGCCCCTGCTGATAAACCATTACCTTGCTCAGAGGAATGTGCCCTGGTTTACCTTTCTATTAAATTTCACTCATGACATTTCCTTCAATGAGGGTTACCCAAGGGACCACAACCGATCAACCGGGAATAACTTGGCTGCTCTAAGCAATACAATGGTCCAAGACAATTCCAAAGGACTTGTGATGAAAATGCTCTCCACCTCCAGAGACAGAACTGGTAGAGTCTGAACGCAGATCGAAGCAGACTTTTTTACTTTCTTATTTTTCTTGTTTGGGTTTTTTCGGTCTGGTTTTTCCCCCCACAATATGACTAGTGTGGAAATATGTTTTGCATAACTACACATGTATAACCTATAACCTATTGCTTACCTTTTCAATGGGGTTGGCAGTGAGGAGAGGGAGGGAGGGAAAAATTTGGAACTTAAAATTTTAAAAAACTATTAAAAATTGTTTTTACATGTGATTGGGGGAAAGGAAAATATTAAATCATAAAAACAAGAACTGAACATTCCATTAAAGAATACATCAGCAATGAGACAATATATGAAATGCTGACATGTTATTCCAGGAAAAGAGAAAACACCCCCTCACCTGGTGGGCCCTGGCTGCTAGGAAGACTGGGGCCATTCTCTTCTCTTCCACGTTGCCTCTTCTTGGGGAAGGCAGAGCTGGGAAAGAAAATGGAACCATGAGAGACCAGGGGCCTGAAAGACCCAGCCACCTTCCTGCTAATCTGGCAGGTCAAAGAGAGCTCCTAAACCAGGGGCGGGGAATCTGCGGCCTCAAGACCACATGTGGCCTTCTAGGTCCTTGCATTCGACCTTTTGACTGAGTCCACGTTTTACAGAACTAATCCTTTTATTAAGGAGATTTGTTTTGTGAAGTTTGCACCCAGTCAAAGGGCTGCACTTGAGGACCTAGAGGGCCATATGTGGCTTCTGGGCGGCAGGTTCCCCACCCCTGTCCTCAATCCAGTGCCACATTGTTACATACAGACCATGTGCAAGGTGCTGGGGACGGATGTCATCCTCAAGGGCCTCACATGCTACTGGGAAAACCAATAAGCTGAAAGAGTAATCAATCAGTAACCCAGTGAAGTACCTTTATAATGGAAAGAAGAAACCCTTATAGTGGACAAGCCGTGAAGCCGGCCCCTGAAGATCAGGATTCTGCGAGCGGCACCAGAAGAGGGAAGGCTTTCAAGGAGTGGGCCGTGGGAAGACCTGGTGGTGGTATGGAGGCTTTGGGAAAAGGGGTGGTGAAAGGCTTTTGTGGGAAAGATGGGTCAGGGAGGGCAACCATGACCTTAGCATTTGTGCAGCAGGGAGGCACAATAGGGAGGGGAGGAAGAAGGCAGGAACAAGGCAGGACCCTTGTCCCTATGCAGGGCAGCCCAGGTTGTTGTTTCCAAGGCTCCCAGCCTCTACATGCCCATACCTCCACATTCCACGTACCCATCACAGGGTTGCCTCCTTCGGTCAGGCCCTGTGCACAACTGCCACGATCTCCTAACTGGTCTCCCTGCCTCTGTCCCTCCGCTCACACCTAGCCGTGTCACTCACTAACCGGTGCCCCTCTGTGGGCTTGGAAAGCTCCTCCCCATTTGGGCCCCACCTACTTTCCTGCCTCATTACACACCGTCCTTCCCACACTCAGCAGACTGGTCTTTCTCTGCACCTGCCATCTCACATGCCTTCAATGCACTCGCTCTTTCCTTCCCTCTCTTGCGGTAAGGGGCTGCTCAGACATTATCTCCTCCGAGATTCCTCATCTCCAATGCTGGCAGTCTCACTTTCAAACTGCAGCTCATTTGCATTTGTTCTTATTTATTCTGCATAAGGGTGTAGCAAGGGCCATCACCCACAGAGCATGCTCAGCACGGCCTTCCTGGTTGGGGTTGCACACAGGAGCCTTGGAGCCTGCCTCTGGCCGTATGGTGGCCAGTCCTCATCGGTCTCCTTGGTCCAGGTCAGTGGCAGAGGGCTGGCTGCGGCATCAGTCAAAAGAAGATCCACCACTTTGCTAACTCCCGGTGGTGGGGGTGGGGAGGGGGCAGGTAGGTAGTGCTGAGAGCGAGTCCTCCCTCCCAGAGGTTCCCGAAGTGGGATACTGCCTCCTGGGCGGTGCTGGACCTATTCATGGGGGTGGCAGTAGCCATTGGGGGGGGGTGTTGAATAAAAATAAAGAGGTGGTAGAAGCATAGGGAAAGAAGAGAAGAAATTTTTTTTTTCCCTGTGAGGCAATTGGGGTTAAGTGACTTGCCCAGGGTCACACAGCTAGTAAGTGTCAAGTGTTTGGTCTGAGGCCAGATTTGAACTCAGGTCCTCCTGACTTCAGGGCTGGTGCTCTATCCACTGCCCCACCTAGCGGTCCCTAGATAAGAAAATTTTGAAGAACCATTCATACATGTTTCATCTGTTGTGTAAATGAGTTAAAGTCATAGTGATTACATTATCTTCCAAATAAACACACAAAATGCAAGTTACAGCAGATCAGTGGTCAAGTCCGCCAGCAGGTCTTAACAAGCAAGGGTTGGCAGGCGAGGTTGTCTGTATCGTCGCGAAGTAAAGCATGCATCCACAGGAATATACGAGTGTGATGACTTGTTTACAATAGTATACAGTGACACGACACAACAGTGTGCCACCAAAATTTCAATGCAGGAAAAAAAAATTAAATTGAAGATGCGTCACTTCAAAAATATTTTTTGAAATGACGTGAATTTCAAAAAGCCACTAAAGGATTAAAGAAAGTAGATTTCCAGGGTGGCACTGAGTATTTATTCTTCAAGGGGGCAGCAGGCCAAATAAGTTTGGGAACCTCCGCTCTGGATTCTCCAGGAAGGCGTCGGGTCCTGGGAGTGGGTGCTCTTTCCTCCGCTGCCTCTCCCACATGGAGCAAACACCCCAGCTGGGTGAGATGCACCCGGGCCCCGGCTGCCGCGTGCAATTTGTGTTTCCTTTCCCGGGCAGGGCATCCAACATTATTCCTGGGGCAAACGTGTCCAGGCTTGCAAGCAACCTTGCAAAGGAGCCTGCGTTTTGCTGTAGCGGTGGCAGGGGGCGCAGGGGGTTGGGCACGCCGGGGGCCCCCCGAGTCAGAGCCCGGCTGACCGCAGGCAAACGCTTGCATCTAAGAGAAGGGGCCTCATACCAGCGGCCACACGCCGGAGCCCGAAGGGCGGAGGCGCCTATCAGCCGTCCTGCTGAGTGCTGCGGGGCAAACGGGGGCCGTCGGGACAGACGGCTCGGGTGCCAGGGGCCCAGCTCAGGCACGCACTTGGCACCGGCCGCAGGGTCACTATCTACCCAGGCTGTTCCCCGCAGAGAACCGGAGACCTGGCCAGCAGGGATTGGAGGATCAGCGCTCCTGATTGGCTAATTCTCCTCCCCACCTCCCTGGGCCGACCAATGAGCGCCTGCTCGTCCAGGGGGCGTGGCCACGCTGGTGGCAGAAGCGGACTGCGCAAACGCGAGTTCCCTTCCTTTCCCCTCCCTCTCCCAAGGCTCCCAGAGCTCCGCCTCCCCTCTGGGCCCAACCCTTCCGCCTCGAACTCACCCCGCCCGGGGAACGCGGGAAAATGCCGGGCTCCGGCCCGGGGGCGTCGGCAGCCGGGGGAGACAGAGCAGAAGTGAGAGGCTGGAAACGACAACCCGTCAGGAAAACGGGTGGGGGTGGGGCAAGCGAGACTGGGCGGAAGTGACGTCCATCCACGCGCTCTTCCATCCGCTCTTCTAGCGAGGTGCGTGTCCCCGTTTCCCCGGTAACCACGCCGGGAGGAGAAAAGGTTTCTGGGAACTGTAGTACTCCGGCTGCGCGCACATGCTCGGCAGAGCGCTAATGGCGGGACGTCAGCTGGGCGGGGCTTCCGAGGCGCCCCCGCCCTCTGCGTGAGCCCCGCCCCCTGCCGCCTGCGCCGGCGGGGGTGTGGCCTCTGGGCTGCTGCTCCTCGCCCCTCCCCCTCGGAGTATGGATCCTACCATTTCAAAGTTGATTCTACCACTGAACCAGCATGCGTGCCATATTAGAGTGTGTTGTGCCCGCTTCTCTCTCTCGAGAAGTGCAATAAAGGCTTCCAGTCACTCCTGTAGTAGATTTGTGTTTCAGATTTTTCTAACAAGCAGACCTGAGATAGAAGAAAATGATGAGACTGAGGGACATTGAGGCAGGGACAGATGTCACTGGGCATGACCTTATACAGACTTGAGCTGAGATGTAGGAAAGGGGCAGATCAGAAGACCTCTATGCTCATTTTGTCTGTGCACACCCAAGGATAAAAGCTTATCGACCTCCTTCTCAGGGTGAAGCGATTCGTGCAAAGATTGCTGCAGAAAGGCATGCGGATAGAAGTGCACCATGGAGATTAAGCCAGAGTTTGGTACATGGCCCTCATGCACCTGACATCATCACATACTCTACTGACCCAGAAGCCTTTGCCAACAACATCTGCTCAGCTACAGGAGCGAAACAGAGCCCCAGCACCACCAATTCTGAGCTGCACGCACAGGATGGGAGCCAATCAGGTGAGAGACGGAGCTGCACACAATCCTATTCACCTTAGAGAAGTAGAAGGCCAGGGAAGGGAGGCCCTGAAAGCTTTGGGTTAGAGCACCTGTCTCAGGTAATCAGCAGAGACACAGATCCACATTTTGTTATAATTGAGTACTGAGGAGTCTTTTCTACCAGTGAGGAGAGCCCAGTGTAAATCGGCTTCGAGCCTCTAGTTAGGCAAAAATTCTGATCAATGCCGTGATCGTCTCTGATTTCAGAGGTCCAGTGATAAAATAAGAACAGAGAACAGAAAAGAGCAGAAGGACAGGTAGGAAGAATCTCAGATAAGCAGGAGAGCTGTGAAACCTCCTTCTTGAATTTATTTTATACTGTACTTGAAAAGAAAATAATAGATTCACAGTCACATGTACAATCCTTTTACTATTCTGTCATGTGTATAAATACTCATTTTATTTGATGTTTCTTAAGTTCATAATAAAAAAGTTTTTAAAAAGCCTTGCACATGACATCTTTTCAAATCTTTAGATTTTATTTGAATATTAATATCCCCCTACACACACACACACACACACTCTCTCTCCCAGTCTTATCTCCAGTGAAACCATCCCGGTTCCTTTGACCTAGCTTCATAGGATAGACTCAAGGCCCTTCACCTCCGAGTTGCGCTTCTCTGTGAGCCCGGCAGATTATCACTGCCCTCAAACCCTTCCCCACGTGGGGCCCGACCAGGGAACAGTCCAGAGGGATTGGCGCCTTATTATTACTGAAAGAGCAGTCTTTTAAAATGTGTCCAGAGACCACCTTACCCATTTTGGCTGCCACGTCACACTACTGATTCACATTAGTATGGATAATCTGTAAAACCCCACAGTGTTTTAAAAGATAAAATACTGCCTAATCGTGCCTCACTCATCCTGCATTTGTGAAGCTCATGTATTGAACCCACATGTAAGGCTTTATCACTATTGCATTTCATTTTATGAGATCCAGCTCAACTTGAGACCATCATGATCTCTGTCATCCAGTGCCATTGAAGGCCGGGCCTGATTTGGGCTGTCCTGGCACTTTGTGTTTGGAGTGAGGCATGCCTAGGCAGGGGTGGGGAACCTGCAGCCTCGAGGCCACGCGTGGCCCTCTAGGTACTCAAGTGTGGCCCTTTGGGTCCAAACTTCAGGAGATTTGTTCTGTGAAGTTTGGATTCAGTCAAAGGGGTGCACTTGAGGACCTAGAGGGCCACATAAGCTCATCACTTCTAAACCTACCACCATGATGTTAATTCAAGCCCTGATTGACTGTACCTCCCCTCAGCCTCCTCTGCCCTCTGACTGGAGGATGGAGTACCAAACTCCTCTCAGTGCCTTTTTTTTACTAAGGGCAGAAACTCCCCTCACTTTACATCTGCTGCCCTACCTGGTTTCATCTCCATGGAACAAGATACCTTCATGCCTAACCCCTTGGTGTTTCTCTCCCCCACCACATTCCTGCCTACTTTTGGGTGTTTTCCCCCATTTAGAGTGTAAGCTTCTTGAGGGCAGAGACTGTCTTTTTATTAATTGTGCTTACCTGGGCAACTCAGCTCCTCCTGAACTCTCCTATCCCCAAATGGGCTATCATGCCCTTACCTGAGGGTGTTCTGCCCAAAGGAAGGTAAATTTTGATGGCTGAAACCTACCTAGTTATCTTGGAGTTCACTGGCTAAACTTCTTTCTCAAAGACCATGCCTTAAACCCAATTCACTCTGGATCTCATTGATTGGACAACAGGTCCCTGCCCAAGCACCCCTTAATGGTTACTTTTTGGGCCCTCCTGGCTCAGAGTGAACGTAAGTAGTAATTTCTCTTTTGGCCAGCAACCCTGAGGGTCTTTCCCTTCCAGCTTGATTTTTTTTTTAATTAAAGGGGCCATCCCTTGACTCACTTCTTCAACAGGCCTATTCAATGAATGAGTATTGCCTCTCTCAAAGTGAGAATTTGGAAAGACCTTAGCTTAAAAAGGCCAAGGTCTCCCACTGCATCTTGGGCCATCTCCAGGTGTCCTGATCAGTACCTGGCCACTGGACCCAGATGGCTCTGGAGGAGAAAGTGAGGCTGGTGACTTTGCACAGCCCTCCCTCACTCAAATCCAAATCAGTGCAAGTCATGTCATCGTCTCCCTGATGTCATGATCCTCTTTGAGAATGAAGGACAAACCACACAATCAGGTGCCTCCATTTAACCTGAAGGTAGTCCCATTTGTCTACTGGTTGCTCAACTTAACACCTTACTTCTCTCACGTTTCTCCTCTCCGCCCTCAGCTAAGGTCCCTCTTCCTGTTGTACCAGGAAGTCAAGGTCATTCACCAAAGACTCATCTCCCTTGGCCCTGACCATCGATCCCTATGACCTCTTAGTCCTTCTATTCACCAAGACCTGCCTCCCACCACCACATTCCACTTCCTCATAATCTCATCATTCCCTCCCATCTTCTACCTCTCCCTATTTGCTGGTTCCTTCACTCTTGCCTAGAAACAAATCTGTGTCCACATCTTTAGACAACTCTCACCAGATCCTGCCATCCAACTAAACTCCTTGAAATTATGAACTGTAAGGGCAGCTAGGAGGTGCGGTGGATAGAGCGCAGGCCCTGGAGTCAGGAGGAC